ATAACTCACCAAACCAGATGAACGCATGGATTCCCTGCAATATAGATTTTGGATTTAGATACAGCAAATATGTTTTAAGTAAACTGATTGGAGAACAGAGAACGAACTGATAACAACAAGATGAATGCACCTAATGCCAAGGGGAACATGAAGGGTATCCATAAAAGCAGCAGGAAATCTCTCAAAAAGTTTTTGAACAACATCCAAAGATCGAATCTGAAAATCAAAATGTCAATATTGAGTTTTGAAGATAAAAATAAGGATATTGACTAACAAAACACTACAATCATTTTAGTGATAAAATACATGCCTCTCCAAGACGTTCCTTTGCTCCCAACAGGAAACCACAGAGAAGATATAATAGTGTAAAATAGATGAGTACCTAGGAGATAGATCTGCATAACAAGTAACAAATGAACTCGTTGAAAATGAGAAGACCTTTAATAAAGATTAAAGAACCATATGCTCCAATAATTACCAACAGAAATTTCTTATATAATGTGATGGCACCTATAATCCTATAAATGGGATGTGTTAAAATAAAATAATAATCTAATTAACAAAAGATAAATGTTGCAATTACGAAAAGCACTGGAGAAGATTGTGTTCAGCATGTCTGGTTAAAGGTTCATTTAAAAGAAGTGTGTCTTCTAGTTAAGGGTTCAGGTAAAAGCCTTCAAGGTAAAGATGAAGGTGTGAGTCAAATCCAAAATTTTATCATGCTCCATACCCTCAGAGTTGGAAGCCTACAGAATATTTCAAGCAGAATCCATGTTCAAGTAAATCCCGCACAGCATCTACTCAAAATTCTGAACGTAATCTTCAATCCACTTATGTATGGGGAAGTAATAATGTATCTTAAATTTGATTTGTTTAATTGCTCAAAATTAAAATTCCTTCGTTAAATCTGGACGAAAAAGGGAGAAAAGGTTTACGTATTGTGCAATTCAACTTCAGAAAACAAAAAATTAGGGGTTAGGACATACCTGATACCCATATACGCAACATAATTGCGGCATAGGCAGAATCTGGAGAGACAATTGTAGAGGCCTGTGCGATTCTGTTCCCCGGGAAGTATTGAAACCCTACATGGAGCAGACATTTGGCCTGTGAGAAATGTCTCCTCTGTCTAAAATTGAAATTAATATTCCAAAAGTGCTCCTTACACGGGCGAAAATCAATCCAATTATATTAGATATGGGAACTGAAATACCCGCAATTGGAGAAGAGCGTTGAATATCCACCCGATTACAATCCCCAGTAGGACAGCGTCGCTCTCTCGATTTGTATTCCCAAATCAATTTGCCATCGCTGGATTGCATGCGCCTCCCGCCGAGATCTTCATTGACAGACGTCTTATGCCGAGATAAGGTGTGTTGAGTTTTATCTAAGAGATGGGAGAGATGCTAGGCGGAGAAGATCGAACCCCTGCCGAAACCGCAAATAGGGTAAGGCGCATAACCAAATGTCTTTCGCCATGGAGTTCGAACACTGGCCTTAGGTATTGACGGCTAGATTTGCCGATTGCAAATGAAATTGGACCGTAGGATATGAGCGAAAATTGGATTG